GAGGGTTGGGGGTTTTGGGTTTAGGGGTTTAGGGTTTAGGGTTTAGGGTTTAGGGTTTAGGGTTTAGGAGGCGTGTTCTTCGGCTCAGATTTCAGAGCTCCTGGTTCAGGAGTTGGGTTTTTGATTTTGGGGGCCGGCCAGGGTTTGGGCCCCTATGAAGACGTGGAAACCTGAAACTCCTAAACCCCAAAACCCTACACCCTAAACCCTAAACCCTAAACCCTAAACCCTAAACCCTATAACAAAAAACACCTTAAATCCGAGGGTAACCCGAAGACTTCAAGGAGCAAAGCTTCTGCGAGCCTAAAGCCCACCCAAAGAAGGCCTACAAAAAGCGCAGAAGACCCTCAACTCCAAAGAAAGCCAGAGGCCCCAAAACCTGCAAAAAATCCTAGACCCTTGGGGTTTAGGGTTTAGGGCCTTAAGGCTAAACCCTAAACCCTAAACCCTAAGAAGCAGACGTGGAACTTCGGACAACGGAGTTCCACGAAAGGCTCCGACACAACATGCCCCCAAACAACCCTACCCTTAACCCTAAACCCTAAACCCTAAACCCTCAACCCTCAACCCTAAACCCTAAACCCTAAACCCCGAACTCTCAACCCTAAACCCCTAAACCCCTAAACCCCTAAACCCGTAAACCCTAAACCCCCTGAGTCCTAAACCCCCCCCAAGAGGTCCGGACCCAAGACCTGCAGCTTGAGCCTCGTGCTCGGGATGACATTGACGTGTCCATGGAACTTTGACTACGAGGCCTCGATTTTCGGCTTTGGGGTTTAGGGTCTAGGGTGTAGGGTGTAGGGTTTAGGGTTTAGGGTTTTGGATTTTAGGCTTTAGGGTTTAGGTGGGGGGTAGAAGTTATATGCCGGTTGCAACTATTGGCTTTTTTGGCTTTCCGTGGTAGAGGGGTTTCACAGGGTTTTTGTAGGGTTCTAGAAGCTAAACCGTAGACGCCGAAGCCTACACCCCAGACCTTAAACTCTACATCCAATAGTTTAGGGGCCTTAACAAAGTACCTACATTAATTTTTGGGGGTCCCTTATTTTAATTATAGTAGAATAGGCCGCCAAACCCTATTCTAATTATTCTCGGGTTTTGGGGCTAGGGGGGTTTGGGGTTTGGGGGCGAGGGTTTTCGAAGGGGGGTTCATTACCAGTTTCTGCCAACGGTATTTTTTGGGGTTTGCAAGGGTACGTTGAAGGCTTTTAATTGGAAGAGACGGGGTTTACGGTGATTAGGACTTCGGTCTTTTGGTGGTATCTTGTGTTTAGTGCTTCGACAGAGTCTAGTGTAGGCCTAAGTGTCATGGAAACGAACTGTTGGGGTGTGTACACATGTGCTGGAAGAGAAACCCTAAACCCGCAGCCCTAAACCCTAAACCCTAAACCCTAAACCCTAAACCCTAAACCCTAAACCCTAAACCCAAACCCTAAACCCTAAACCTAAACCCTGAGCCCTAAACCCTTGGAGCATAGCAGTCCTTGCAGAGCCGCGTGCAGGCAGAGAAATGGGCCCAGGACAGGGACTTGGATGGGGGACCTGTCGTCTTGCGATTGGTGGCTTAGGGTATACCTTAACCCACCAGAACCTACTTTTTTGTAGGGTCCCTATAAATCCCATATGAGGGTCTATAATAAGAGCCTACAGAAAAGTGGGTTTTGGTGGGTTGAGGTAGGGTTTCTAGGTTTAGATTTAGGGTTTCGGAGTCTATTAGGGTTTAGGAAGTTTAGGGATAAAGGGTTTAGGGTTTCGGGGTTTAGGGTTTAGGGATTCAGGGTTTAGGTTTAGGGTTTCGGGGTTTAGGGTTTAGAGATTCCGGGTTTAGGTTTGGGGTTTCGGGGTTTAGGGTTTAGGGAAGGTGTAGGGTTTCGGGGTTTATGGCCAGTTTAGGGTTTAGGGGTTTAGGGTTCAGGGGTTTATGGGTTCAGGGCTTAGGTGATTACTAGATTGAGGTTCCTTTTCAGAGTGCAGGACTTCAGGTTGTGCCGTGTCCAAGCAAGCCCTGACTTGGAACCTGGATCTCGAACCTACACCCTAAACCCTAAACCCTAAACCCTAAACCCTAAACCCTAAACCCCGCACTTGCACTTCACCCCGCAATCCCGCGTCCTTCAACCGCAAAACCTCGGAAGAATGGCCCGGTTCGGGGCGAGGTGTGGGTAAACGGTTTAGGAGGGGGGACGTGGCAGCATTGAGGTAATTACTGGAATTTCCTAAACCCTAAACCCTAAACCCCCAAACCCCTAAACCCCTAAACCCCTAAACCCCTAAACCCCTAAACCCCTAAACCCTAAACCTTGGCACCTTTGTTAACCCCCAAACGACGACACTGAAGCCCTCAACTTGTGTGTTCTCGGATCGGCACGGCTGCATCCCTCAACAGTACCCCCAAAACAAGCCTAACATGCTGTTTTAGGGTTTAGGATTTAGGGTTTACTTGGAGGTTCAGGGGTGGTTATAAGTGGGGTTGTAATTAGGGTAACCGTAATTATGAACCAATTTAGGGGACTTACAACCCCATTTATAGCTATCCATGAACCTCCAAGTAACTGTAACCCTATACCTGCCTAGACCCCACAGAACCTATCTTTCTCTGCGGACTTATAACAGGAAGTCATAAAAAGGAATCCCCCAAAAGGGAGGTTCTTTAAGGGTCCAGCTGAGTTCGAAGCGACTAAAGAGTTCCAATTCGTTTCAAGGTACTCTGAATCCTAACCCCTCGAATTCCGCAGCCCAAGCCTCGACCCTAAACCCTGAAACGCTAGAGCCTCGAAGCATGCAGGTAGTTCTCGAAATTAGGGTCCCCTTTGTAGGTCCCCAGAACAGTACGGCACCCTTATAAAAGGGATCCTAATTTAGAGAACGACCCATGTGGCGCAAGGTGCTCGTCTCAGGTCTCGTACATGTCGTCGCGAAGATCCGGACGCTGGGAGGGTCCGCGGCGAATGCTCTGACAGAGCAGGCGTCCCGGCAGGGCAGCTGGAAGTGACAGAAGAGATATGTGCTACTGAAGCACTCCCATGTTTAATTATACCACTGCCTGCTGCTGCTGCTGCTTATTTTGATTCGGCTAGAATGCGACGCGAAACCACAGTCTAATTATTCAGGCCCCTATCCTTGTTCCCCCCTATAGTACCCCGTTATAGTAACCCGTATAGCCCGTGTAAGAGCCCTTTTTAACCACTAGGCCCCTCTCAGTTTCTCCGAGGATGTGGGGGTCTCCATGGATAAGCCAGAGGACAGCGCAGACAAAAGCCGGAGTCGCCTGACTTGGGCTTTAAGGGTTTTTAGGGTTTAGGGTTTAGGGTTTCGGAGGGCTTCAGGCTTAAGGGCTTACGGTTTATGCTAAAGAACTCAAGGGGTTACGGTGAATGGTTTAACGATTTAATTAAGGGAGGACGTAGGATTAATGGTTTCGGGTTTATGGGGTTTGACTCTGAGGATTTAGGACTTACGGGTTTGGGGTTTCAAGGCTGTGTCAAGGAAGGGGCGCGCCGGCGCTGAAGGCTCCGAGGCAGGCGCCCAGAACTGTATGTGCCAGCGCTCCATCCTAAACGCTAGACCCTAAACTCCAGTTTCGACCTTTGCATGTTTAGGGTTGTTTTTTTTCCTCTGACCGCGCTTTTTGCTGTTAAATGGCTTGCACAGCGGGTGTGCCGTCGGAAGAGAAGTCAATGGGGTCCGAGCTAAAGGAGGCAGGTTTAGGGTTTAGGGGAGTAGGGTTTGGGGTTTAGGGTATTCTTTGGTCTTGAAGGTTCCGGGATAAGGATTTCAGTGTCGAGGGCTCCGGGCCGGTTGAAGGGCGCTCGTGAATTCTTGTAGGCCCCGATGTCACGAATTGATTAATAAAGGGGGCTAAATAATTACCAATATTATTTCGGCGTTCCCTAGCATAATCATAGCATAATGTACCCCCAAACCCTGTTCTAAATTATTAAGGCCCCTATATTACTGAGGGGCTTTCACTTCGAAAACTGCAGCAAAATCGGAAGCTCGGAGTGTGAATTCAGAGCTTGGCCTCTCGACCCTGAACCGTACTTGGAGGATCACCGGACTCAGTAAGTATGGCTACAAGTAGCTTAATTGCGGTAGTAAGTCTGTAGAACTGTAGTTAACAACGATCCTCCAAGTAAGTCCTTGGGATATAGGGGGTCAAGGATCCCGAAATCGATAGCAAGGCATTGTTCGGGGAGCTCAAATTCGTAATTGATGTCCCTTTGTCTCTGCAAATCTTGCATTCCGATCCTACATCGCAAACATTCAGCGAACCGTACAACCAGGACACCACAAGTGCGAAGAAGACCAAAAGAATCGAAGAGCCATGTTGTCTAGAAAAGAACACGAACCTTCAACCCAAGACCCTGAAATCGTTAACCACTTAACCCCTAAACCCTTAAACCCTCAAACCCTAAACCTTAATTCAGCCCTAAACCCCCAAACTTCTAAACAGTTACAGTCGAGGCTACCAGCTGCGCATTGACGTGAACGAGCATTTGGCTATGTGCCCTGCCCGGGTTTCGAGTTAAGGGTTTAGGATTCAGGGTTGATAAGATATTGGCAGTTACTTGGGGTTCAGGGTTTAGAATTGAGGGTTTAGGGCTTAGAGTTTCGGGTTTAGGGCTTAGAGTTTCGGGTTTAGGGCTTCGGGTTTCGGGTGTAGGGTTCAGGCGGTTTGGGGTTCGGGTGGAATGCAGGGGCCGGAATAGTTACCAATATTAATCCTTAGGATTCCTGATTCTGCTGGTTTAGGGTTTAGGGTTTAGGGTTTAGGCTATAGTCTGGCGTGCGGGATGGCAGAAGGAGACCTCGCTGGTGCTAGAAAGCGGCCGATTGCTCTCTAAAGGCCTTTTAGTTACACTGTTTCGAGGCGCCCTTTTGGGATGGGGATTTAAGCGGATAGATCATGTTTGGGGTTCTTAGCGTGTGCGTGCGTGCGTGTGTGTGTGTGTGTGCGTGTGTGTGTGTGTGTTTGCGTGTTTGGGCGGGGTTTAGGGTTTTTAGTTCAAGAGCACGGACTATGCAGCTCTCCCCGCATTGCTATCGCACAGCTTTTCTCTTTTGCTGAAACTGCAGTGCTGTGTTAAGTAAAACAGTCACAGTCATGGAATATGGTACCCGAAACCCTAAACCCTAAACCCTAAACCCTAAACCCTGAACCCTAAACCCAAAACCCTAAACGCTAAAGCCGAAACCCGATTCTTGGTGTTTCTAGGAAGCAAAGACATCCCAAGCTTTCTCGATGTCTTGCTCAAAGCTCAGGAGCCCCTGAGGGAGTTTCCGAAAATACGGGGTACCTTCTCTTGGGATACTAAGGATGATAGTATTTAGAGTACTATATTAGGGTCCCCTACTTTCGAAACCCTCATGGAGCCCTTAGGCTGAAAGCCGTCGAGTCGAAGGGTCTGGAGTTTATTTAGGGTTTAGGGAAAGTTTAGGGTTTAGGGCTTAAGGCTTGGGGTTTAGGGAAAGTTTAGGGTTTAGGGCTTAGGGTTTAGAGTTTATAGGGTTTGGGGCTTAGCGTTTCGGGCCTAGGGTTTAGAGTTCAGGGCCGATGCCGGGCCGGCATCTAAACCCCTAAACTCCAAAGTCCCAACGTCTTCACCAGCCAACACCATGCAATAATTATATGCTATAAAACTATATAATTACAGAGGTAGATGCGCCCTATGAGACTCGAGTAAAGCCTACAAAGCCCAACACAGCACTACAAAACCCTTATCGAACTTGAAAAGGAACTTGCTAGAGGAGTT